AAACTCATCCATTTGTTTAAGGAGTGGTTTTGAGCTCCTGTTCTATGCTTGGTACTGCTAGGATTACAGGGATGAACCCAACCAAACATTCCTTGCCCTCTGAGATAGAGAGACAGGTTAGGTATCAGTCACACAAACTGGGATGTCTATTATGAAGGAAAAGTGCAGATGCAACTGACCTAGGGACATTTGAGTTGTGATCTCTACCCCCACCTCACTTAACTGGCAATAACTTCCCTTAATTTTGAATTCTTGTGTCTATCAGGACTTGCAATATGGAGTGCTCCATTTTGAATTCTGGCTCTTGCTTTTGAATTGCCTTCTTTTTAGAGGCAGCTTGCCCCTACCCCATCTCCCCACCCAAGGCTTGCATTATTTGAGGGAGTTGTATTCTTAATAGTGGAGCAAACCCTAACTGTGAACCACCGTCTCCTTTGAAAGTTCTTTTCTACCTTGTTTCCTTAACACCTGATTTTGTTCGTTCTTTTCCTACATCCTTATTAACTTCTTTGTTAAATTTTCTACTTCTTCTTTTTCTTCTTCACATTTCCTAAAAGTTACTCTACCTCATTTTGTCTTAGGCTCACTTCTGTTACCGGCCCACCCTCTTGGCAATCTCATCCACTCTAGAAAAATTTGGGCTATGATCTTTAAGTAAATAGATGGCTAATTTCTCTCTCTCAGTTATGCCCCGTTTCCAAGTATTTAGTGGATTGCGCCTTGTAGATATAAATAGTACCCCAAGTAGAATTCATCATGTTCTCTGTGTTAGTGAAAACATGAGAACTGATGCTCCACTAGAAATTATAACAAAGAGTTTTATTGAGGAAAAAAAAAACCCAAATAAGGTCATTTTTTGAAATGGAGAGTCACATGGGCACTCAAAACAAGAGGCAGCATGTGTTCTGACTTGCAGGGGGGACAGTGAGGTATTTGTCAGGCAACAAACAAAGGCAAAATGGTTTCACATCAAGGGAGCGCACGGGAAGGAAGAAAAAATTTACAAGGAGTTGTAAAACTACAAACTTTCCTAACATCAACCTCTTATTTCCCAATACAAGTAGACTGAAACAATATATTAAACCAAACCATGTAAACATTCCTAATGTGAGGGGTTTAGTGACTGATTGTAGGCTGGCCTGTTCAGCCCTAGTTGGAGCCCTTGAAATGTAAAAGTTGACCGCTTGGTTCGAAAGGAGATTAAATCAACTCAAACTTGAAACCTCTGAAATGTAAACATTGCCCGTCTGGCTAAGAGGGAGTAAGTTAGGGCCCAGGCATTCACTGGGTATATTGCCTAAGAGCAGTGAAGATAACAGGTTTATCTACAGAAGTTAAAGTCTGAATCTTTGCACTTTTTGTGTTGCAGACAATCAAGACTTTTACAGCTGTGATCTGCTTCCTGATTTTAACAAACTTAACGTCTTATCTAGTTACATTTTACAAAGAACTAGGAGAAATAAAATGGAAAACTCCCAATGAGTGAAAATGTAATTTGGGAGTCAAGATGTGGAACTAAGACTTTGCATATATCTGTCTTGGCACTAAAGTTACTTACAGGTTCTAACTTCATTTTACATAGCAGTTCTGTCTTCTAACCTGTTGTTGACCAAGGCTCCTTCTCTGAGGCTGGCTGTGTAAACATTCTTTTTTTTTTTTAATTTTTAATAATTTTATCTATTTTGTTGTTGTTGAGAATATGCATGGCAAAACAAAACCAACTCAACAGTTTTTACATGTACAATTTAGTAACATTGATTACTTTCTTCGAATTGTGCAACCATTCTCATCCTCCTTTTCTGCGTTATTCCGCCATTAACATAAACTCACTGCCCCTGAGGTTCCTGTCTAATCTTCCGAGTTGCTATTGTCAGTTTGATCCTATATAGATAGACAGTTCTTAAAAGAGCATAATGCTCAAGGCAGACCTTTTTGTACTAGTTAGGCTAAACTATTGTTTGGTTTTAAGAAGATTTCAGGGGATATTTTTGGTTTAAAGATTATCTCAGAACAATAGTTTCAGGGGTTCGTATACCCTCCATGAGTCCAGGAAGTCTGGAGTCCATGAGAATTTGAAATTCTGTTTTGTATTTTCCCCTGTTTGGTCAGGATTCTTCTATGGAATCTTTGATCAAAATGTTCAGTAAAGGTAGCTGGGCACCATCCAGTTCTAGACTCATGGCAAAGGAAGTAGCTTTTCATGGTGGCAATTAGCCATATATTCCATATCTTCCTCCTACTCCTGACTCTCCTTCCTCTGTTGCTCCAGGTGAATACAGACCAATTGTTGTGCCTTGGGTGGCCACTTACAAGCTTTTAAGAGCCCAGGTGCTACGCAGCGAAGTAGGAGGTAGAATAGAAGCACTAAGCATGTTATTAGGCCAGTTAACTGGGATGTCCCATGAAACCATGATGCTAAACCTCCAAACCAAGGAACCAAATCCCATGAGGTGTTTGGTTGTACATAAACAGCCTTAGCAGCTACTCTTTTTTTTTTGTCATTGCTGTAAATATATCTATCAGATAGTTTTTGCCAGTTCAACTTTTTACAGGTGTACAACTTACAACAGTAATTGGCTGTGCAGCTCTACCCGTAATCAATACAATTTTTCTGTTACCATTAACCCCCCTTTTCCCTGTCCCTCCCACTCCTGGTGACTGCTAATAAACTTTGGTCTCTATACATTTGCCTTTCCTTCTCTTTTTATATAAGTGAGGTCATACATAAATTTGTCCTTTTATCATTGGCTTATTTCGCTTCAAGCTCCATCCATACTGTAGCATGTATCAAGACTTCATTGCTCCTGCTGGATGAGTAGTATTCCATTGTATGTACGTACCATATTTTGTTTATCCATTCATCTCTTGATGGGCATTTAGGTTGTTTCCACCTTTTCGGCTATTGTGAATTGTGCTGCGATGAACATTGGTCTACGCTTGTCTGTTTGAGTCTCTGCTTTCAAGTCTTTTGGATATAGTCCTAGGAGTAGAATTGCTGGGTCATATGGTAGTTCTATTTTTAGTTTTTTGAGGAACCACCACGCTGTTTTCCACAACAGTGGTACCATTTTGCATTCCCACCAGCAGTGTATAAGGGTTCCAGTTTCCCCACATCCTCGCCAACATTTGTTTCTTTTCTGTATTTTTTTTTCTTTGATTTTAATCTTAGCCATTCTAGTGGGATGCATAAACATTCTTAACAGGCACCAAACAATTCTTTATCCAGGTTTGAAATCCTGACTCCCACCGTCTTTATTTTTCAAGTCATAATACTTTGACAAAAAGGCTGAATGTTTTCTTTAGAAAAGTAGAAATGAAAATCTTAGTTTAATTCAGAATGGAGTTGTTAACCTTGGTTTGGAGTCACCCAATTCGGATATGCCAGCACCTCAGTTTTTAAGACTCACATCTACATCTCTAACTTGGTGAAATTACCATCTCCCAGTCTGCTACCTTGAAATCTGCCACTATTGCTACCTCCGTGTTCTCCTCCAGATCTGCCTCGTTTTCCTCTGTAGTACTGTGTTAAGGGGCCCTTCTTTTCATTGTCTGCTTGTACAGCTGTAGTTCAGCCCTGCCTTTCCTTTCATCAGGTCTCCTCTGGTTATCTTTAAGATGGAGCTGTCACCAGTCTCACCCAGCTCCAGGCTACTCTGAATCCTGTGCAAGGTTAATTTTTCCTGAAACACAACTCTGATCTGTTCTTCTTTTCCACTCATACGTGCTTTAGAAACTCCCTACTACCTTTGAAAAAGTGGGTTGGTTTTCTAGGCCTTCCATGATTTGGTTCCAACTTTTTTTTTTTCATTGTCCTTTGTCTCTCTTGCTTCTCGTCTCTTCTAGTTACTATTAATTTAAAGTTAAAGACAAATTACATCATTTTGGTGAAGGATGTGTGTGGGAAATTTAGAGGAAATGGGAGCTAATGTTCAGAATGACATCTTGATCCATTTTATGGGAAAGCAGACTGGCCACCAGGATTTTGGAAATTTGTAAGGTTAGGTTTCAATCCTGGGCTGGTGGCCAGCAGAGACTAGAAAATAGAAGTTATGATGACATGTTCAATGTCCAGGTGGAAGGCCAGGGGGCCAGCTGCAGGGCCCCACATTCCAGTTTGCTGATCCAGGCAGCTGCTCTCATATTCCTTAGAAGCAGCTGCCTGGGCTTCTGGTCAAATGACTGGTTTGAGGTAATGGCAGGTAAGAGTAGGCAAATAGATGTCTAACTATGATGCTGCCATTTTTTGAAAGCTAGTGAACCATCTGGGATTCCCTGGATAGTTTTGTGCGTCAGGTTGTAGCAATGGATTAATTAGGTTATGATAATGAATTCTAAGGTACTGGCTAAGTTGGTTTCATGGAGATAAGTCATTTGTCCAAGGTTAAACTTAGTAAATGCCACGTCTCTGGAGCCCTAGTTTATTTTTGAGTCCTACTGGAGGCCTGGGAGTCCTTTGGTTGCACAAATGGTTAAGCACTGGGCACAACTGAAAGGTTGGCGGTTCAAACCCACCCAGAGGTACCTCGGAAGTAAGGCCTGGTGATCTTCCGAAAGATCACAGCCTTGAAAACCCTATGGAGCAGTTCTACTCTGCACCCATGGGATGGCTATGAGTCGGAATCGACTCAATGGCAGCTAACAATAACTTGAGACCTGAGTACCTATTCTCTTATAGCCTGTTGATTGTAGATCATGACACCATTTTGCAAAGCCATATTTCCTTTTCACAAGCTGAATAGAACTGCAGAATTCCTTAATTTACACTTCATTACTCCATACATGGAAGTTTCTACTTGAAGTGCCCTAAAGCAGCAAGCTAACGGGCCCTGTGAGGTGAAGGCTTTGAACAGAAACTTGGGACAGATGTGTGCTTCACTCACTGTGTAGGAGACACGTGAGGCCAGGACTCAGGAGGGGCTGTCCAAGTGCTAAATTTCCAGGTGGACAGAGGCGGCCATAGGTTAACTACTGTTCCGTCACCAATCTCTCTTTGGTTTCAGTTAGTGACAACGGAGCTGCTCAAGGCAGGAGGACTCTGAGCTGAGCAGTGGAAGCTTTCCTGGATCTGGAGGAAGAGGCAATCCTTGGAACCCGTGATGAGCCATCCTGACTACAAGCTGAACCTCCAGTCCCTGGGGACTCCCAGAGGTAGCAAAAAGAAAATGGAGTCTGCTCCAGCGGAAACAGGAGGAGGCCTGAAACCCAAGAGGAATGGGTGTGGAGGTGGAGGGTGGGCGTTGGGGCTGAGGGTGATTATAACTCTTCTGGTGACCTGTTAAATATTCTCCAGTGTTTTTTATTCTAGAATTAGGCATGGTTTCTAGTTGTCTTAGGTTATTATGATATTGAGTGCAGCTGTTTAATTTCCTCCAGAGAGGTGACAGTCTTTTAGTAATTCCTATTTTTAAAAAGTTTGTGTCTATAAACAGTACAGCAGACTGAACCCGTTATTCAGACTATGCCCCATGCAGACTGTGATACTGATTCAAAACTCAAGTCTCATCTGTGTATGTTTTATTCATGTTTCCTTACCCATCCATTCCTTTTTGTGACTGTTTAAAATCATCATCAGGGAGTTTTAGTCTCTTGTTAGTTTTTTTAAACGATGGGGAGAAAAAGCATATAATGTCTCCAGTTTTAAAAAATACAGAGATATTTAACTGGGGAAAGAGTTGATTGCTGACTCACGTTTCTAGGTGTGTCCTCTGTGGTTGGCCCACATGGTGTTGGTGCTTCGCCAGGTGACAAAAAGTCAAAGACCAAGACCATGCGAGGGAAGAAAAAGAGCATATTTGAAACCTACATGTCCAAGGAGGACGTCTCAGAAGGCCTGAAGAGAAGAACACTTATCCAGGTGCTTAAAATGTACTAGAAGGCTATCCTTTGACTGTGTGGAATCAGATGTAATCATTCATTCAACTAATGCTTATTGTTCTATGCTGTGTGCTTTGAGAGTGATTATGACATGCTGGGCACAGGGGCCAGCTTCTTAGACCTACAGTGCATGTAGAGGTGATAAATCCTTAAGACAGGTACAGACAAAGTGCTCTGAGATCTGGGAGGAGGGAGCCATCACTTCCAGTTAGGCCTGTCTAAGAAGGCTTTACTGGAAGGGATATATCTGAGCCAGGCCCTGGGTTGGTGCAGTTTGAACAAGTGACAATAAGAGAGAGCTTTACAAATGGAGGGACTAGTGTGAACTACTAAGACAGAAGTGGGAAACAGGGTTTGGATAACTGAAACATTGACTAGTTCAGTTTGCTTGGAGCACATGGATGCTAAATAATGGAGAGTAATGGATAAAGTTGAAAAGGAAACCATGTGAACAACAGCCACCAATATATATCGAGTGCTTTATAGTTTACAAAATACTTTCACATGCTCGTTCAGCAGTTTGTTCGTCACACATTTATTGTGCATCCACTGTGAGCCAGGAACAGTTATGGTTCTGAGCAGGTCACATGGGGCTCTTGAGGTACAGGTAGGTAAGATGCCTTTCTGCACTTCAGAGCTTACAGTCCGGTGAGGGTAGGGGGAGGTCATATGAACAGGAGATTTGAGTATAAAAGGTTGAGTGCTTGGATAAAAGTGTGACCAGGGTGTGTGGGAGTATGTTGGGGGTAGGGAAACTATAGATTGAGGTTCTGGAATGGGTTCCTATAGAAGATGACACCTATGGTGGATCTTGAAGGATGACTAGTTTGGGCCAATTCAGTGAGTGGTACGTGTGTGGGAAGGAGGTATGAAGAGGAAATGGCACTAATGAAAACATAAACTTGTGGATCAGTGTGGAGCAAGGCAGCTTAGGTTGTCTTGGAAATGAAATATGAGGCAGATAGTAGTAGTAACAAGTCTGGAGAGGGAGGCAGGGCTGTATAGTCTTTGAATTAAGTCTATTTTCTAATTCTTGGATTAGTGTAGAAATATTGCCATGTGCCAGCTGGCTCACTTGAAAAAATTGACCATTTTCCTACACAGCCCCTACACTGGTGCTTTTGGCTGAAGATCCAGCCCATTAACAGGTACTGTCAGCTTCTCTTTTCGTCACTTGTCTGTATTCACCTGTGGGCAAGTGCACATGCAGTTGATGAAGACTCTTAACGGAAAAACTGACACTAGGGGTAGTATTGGTTTCTTTTCTTTTTTCTTAAAGCCTCCGCTGGATTTCTTTGACCTTTCTTAGGAGAATGAAAACTGCCTTTGGGCATATGGGCATTCATTAATCCATTCATTTGTGCGTTCATTAATCTGTTCATTTGCTGTTCATCATTTCACCTACATACTGAACTCCATTTTGTCTACTAGCCTCTGTTTCTTCTACTGTCTCCTGTCTGCTTTATTCCTGTCATCTTGATTCATGTATGAGGACCTGTTGTGCCCTTCCCATTCTCATCTCCTGCCACTCTCCTCCAGGAACTCTCTCCTCCATCCACCCTGAACTTCAAGACTTTTCTTCCAAACACTGTGCTCTTTGATGCGTCTGTGACTTTGTACATGCTGTTCCTGGTGGTCGGAGTGCTGTCTCCCACTAGCTAGATGTAATCATGCTTGTCCTTTAAGGCCCTACCAAAATGTCACCTCCTTTGAGAAGCCTCATCTTATTTCTGTAAGCAGAGTTGGTTCTTTCCTCTTTCCTGAAGCCAATCCTTTCTTTACATTTTATTAGAAATCTATTACCATTTCTTGGCATTTATATTTCCTCCAATAGACTGTTCACTCCTTGAGGGCCGAGTCATGTCTTATTCCCACAGGTCACCACAGTGCCTGGCATTTGCTTGATGCTTGATATATTTATATTGAATAAATATTTATTTACTAATTGAATAGGATCCAGATAGATAGTCTTTTGATGAAGAGTGAGTGGGGAGAAACCTCAGTTGTTGTCACTTCAAAGAAATATAGCTTAGAATTTTGGTTCTAGAATTTGTAGCGATAGGGTAAAGGAAATATTCTGCAATGGTATTAGTCCCCCCTCCCCCTCCTTTTAATTTTTGCTTTTGAAGCAACTCTTTGCTGACATTAAAAAAAAATCTGATCAGTATAACATTCCCAGGAGTTTGTAAGTGATTCCTCCTGGCTTGTGACTTCATGAGACTGTGCAGCCAGAGCCTTCCTCCACATATGAGAACAGTTGTTCTTTGCAGATGGGGAAGGGAATGGGTTCCAGATATGAGGTCACCGTGAGAAATATACAACACCGTAAATAAGATTTTCATAGGCAGAGAAACAGAGCCCATCTGCTTTCTGAGAGAAACTTTCTGTGTGCAGACCTTGCTGGGCAAGGTAAAAAGCTAGACAAGAAAAGATGTTTTGATGCTGTTGGGGAAAATGAAACTTATTAGCTGTTTGTAAGTATTTGTTAACTTTTGTATTCAAACTTAAATATAGTGTAACTTCCTCATTCTTCTCCACTTCCAGAGATGAGAGATATTATAGAGATTTTTTTATAGGAGTAGAATAATATTTTTATTTTGTTTTCAATACCTGGACTAATAATTTAACATTTCATTTCATCTCTTTGGGGAGGAGGAGTCCACAGTGACCAAAGAAATATCTTCCCTCGGTTTGAAAATGACCAGCAATAACATGATCATATACTTGTAGTTAAAAAAAAAAATTCTGTAAACAACTACTGACACCGAAGAGCGTATGTCATTTCTCTCTCTACAGGTACAATATTGAGAGATTGTTATAGAAATGTTGGGAGAGATAAGAGTACGGGATAGACATACCTGGAAGGGACTCAGGTTTTGGCTGGTGACCAAGGATGACATGGGTATGAAGATGCTAGAATTGGCTGTCTTCAGGATCCCAGGCGATGCTTTGATTAAAGGTGTTTCAGGTGGCCTGAGGCGTGGTGTCAAAGTTCCCTCTAGAATAGAATATTGGTGAAGTTGTTATTGGACTTCTTCAGAAGTCCTAGTCCAGGAAGTCAGGACAGGATGGGCTAGTTTTCGGGGACCTTTACCATATGTTAAGCATGACATCAGCTAGAAAACATTTGAGTGAGAATTAAAGATGAGAAGGATAGAGGGGACATTACTGTGGGACCGCCCAGTCATTTAGAAGGAACAGATGATATTCATAATAATGCCAGGAGGGATGGGAGAACTCCACCTCTGCAGACACCAATTAATTAGCTCAACAAATGTTTCCTGACTGCTTACTGAGTGCCAGGCCCTATACCAGTGAGCAAGATGAGCAGTTCACTGGGAGAGACAGGCGAAAAGACAGGTAAGAAAAAACAAGACAAATGATGGCTCATGATAAGTTCTAATAGGGAACTAAGAAAGATGAGGGAGTAATTACAGAAACTACGTGGGATAGTTAGGGATGGTCTTTCTGAGGAAGGATCTGAGTTGAGATCTGAAGGATGAGAATGAGCCAGTCATTTGCAGAGTTAGGACAAGAACATTATAGTCAGAAAGATCAGCTAGTGGAAGAACGGCAAACAGAAAAAAACTTAGTGTTTTCGAGGAACAAGAAAGAACATAGTAAGCAAGGGAATTACGACGTGGGAATAAGTTAGAGAATAAGGCAGCAGCCGTATCATGTATGTAGGTCTGCAGACCATGTTGAAGAGTTGGATTTTATTCAAAGAATAGTCACTGATGGGTATTAGGCAGGGGAGGGACATGGTCTGCTTTATGCTTAAAGCAAGCAAACACACACCAGCCACCATCTTTGTGGCCATTGTGAGATCAGTAATCTAGAGTGGAAGCTGAGAGACCACTCGGGAGACTACTGAAGTAAACCAGGCGAGAAAATGTGGAGCC